ATAGATGTCATCCAAACGAAAAACAAAAAATCAGAATTTGACAATGTTTTCAGAGGATCTCTTTATCTGACAATGAATTCAGTATACAAATATATGAAAAGTGGTATGTGAACCGTGATGAGTTTGAAAAACTCAAACAAACTAATAATGATTATGGGGCTACGTTTTTGAATGCCAACGTTACCCACATTCTATGTTTTATAAGCTATGAATTTGCATCTGTAGCACTAACATATAATGCTGTAACGTCCAACAATAAGTCTATTTTAGAACTTTTGCTCAACTTTGCCGACTTTTATAAAGAGAGAAAAGATTTGAAAACGCTTTATATTACTTAAAAGTCGTTTTTAAGATTTCATATTGCGTATTCTATATTACTCAGGGGCACTGAACAACATCATGTGTCCACGAACCAGAGCTCATCAACGCTGATCTAGCTTTCGAGATCATAGCTTCATGCCACGAACTGAATAAATGTACTAACTCTCTTTGGAGTCTCATCCTCACTGCAGGGAATCCGATGTAGCTCGTATAAATGCAGTATGTCTTAAGCGCTTCAACTCATGTTGAACAATTCAAGAAACGTAGATCACGATCACACATAAAGCACACAAAAAAACAAAACCACGCTGCCTCCCAAGCATACTACTAGAGAACGACTATTTCATCTTCTTGCAACGCCTCTTCCGGTGCTTCACTTTTGATATAGGATATCAAGTTCAGTGAGAGTGTTGTTTACTTCCAGTGCTTCTGCTAGTGCTTTATCTCCTCTATCGGTTATTTCATTGATTCCAAGATCAAGCTGAGTGAGAGTATTGTTTACTCTCAGTGCGTCCGAACAATATAATTGTTTACAATCAATACAAGATCAAATTCAAAATATAACTGGGGAATATTGGGAATTAAATGATGAACATCGAACATTAAATATTACCGTAGCTAATGCACTACGTGAACTTGAAAATGTCAAAGCATTATATACAACATTGGTATTGTGTTAATATTAAAATTGATTTCTATAAATAAAATTATATTTTATTTTCTTCTATGTTAGAATATTCGTGAACAATCGGACATAATTAAACAAGCTGAAATAAAATTTACATCAATTAGTAAAGAAATGGAAACATTGACAGATCATTCATCAACCGTATTAAATAGTTTTAAAAATATTAAAGATCAAGCTGATATTCATGTTAAACGAATTGAAAAAGCATCACCCATTGGAAAAAATCTAACAAATGATATTAATTCAGCAAGAAATCAAGTAGAAAAGTTAATGGAACAATTGAAATCATTGTAATCATCACTGAGTAAAAAAGAGAAAAAAAAGAAAAACATAATCCATTGTCGAGACAAACTTAGTCGCTATTGCGAATATTACAGTTATGCATTATTGCCAGATATAAATTGATAGTTTGTAGGATACTGAGCATTTTGTTCTTTTTTTACATGTTTTTGTTTTTTCTTTCTTTGTTGTAAAAATAGTTTTCAGACATCGTCTATAAAATTTATACGGATCATTTTCTCATTAACTTCTTTTTTTTTTCTTCAAAAGTTTCTTTCTGCATCTTGCACAAGAACAGCGAACCTGTGCACTATTGAATATTTTTGTACAATTAGATGTAGTATAACTTTTTTAAAAGTATTTAAATGAGATAAAAAGTATGGAGTGTTATTCGTCAATGAAGTCTTCTTTAAAACGAATGCAGATTTTATTGTGTGAATACTAGTTTTATAACATTCTGACATATTTGTTTTTTATACTCGGTCAGTTGGCACAAATAGAATTGTAGTGCACAAATCTGTTTGAAATTAAATGGTTAATATACTAATTGTTTTTTAAAATTTTAAAGACGTTTTTTTCTCGACATTTTGTCGCATCGTGTATCACCATTTATCAGTATTATAATTGTGAAGAAAACAAATTTCTATTTTTTATGTGAAATAAGATTAATGATATTAGCTGTAATCTGTTTCAGAAAGAGTCTGTATCGTTCATACAGATTTAAAGTGTCGGAAATTCGAAAATTCAGCAGGAGCAGGTTTTTATTTTTGCATTTTTTATACATGGTTGGACAGAGTGCGTCGAGTTGATTTAGAAAATGTGTGCTTTGATGTTTGAAAAAATTATTTTTATGCTGAAAATTGAAATACTTGAAGGGTCTAGATTTTTGAAAAAAGCTTTTTCCTTTTTCGTTCTTCTAACATTGTGAAAGTATCTTTTTCATAATCAGCATTAAAAACTAAGTATGAATCTGATGTTTGATCGAGATTGAGGTCAAACATCTATCCAGTATGGACATCTTGAACTCGCTCTGTAAAAAGTTTATAAACAATTTTGGAAATCTGTCCAGTTTTCTGTTTGAAACGATGAAGCCGAGCTTTTTACTTCATTAGAACCGCCATTGAACACACTTTAAAAGTATAAACCACTGTTTTTTATTTTGCTTCGTCACTAGGAAAATTCACTTTTCCTACATCAGGAGCGAAAAAATCGGAATTTTGTCTGTAATTCTCAATTATCTCCATCAGAACTCAACTTTTATCCAATATAAATATCATATTCGGAATCAGCGTCATAAAACTGAGTCGAATGGATTGGATAGATCAAATTTTTCGTTGATTTTCATTTTGGGGTGAAAATGTCGGCGATTTCTCGACGTAAAAATTCAAAACAACTTAAAATGGTCGGATCGGATAGAAACAAAACTAAATGCCTTTGAAATTAAAATATCATCGAAA